ACTATTGGAAATATAGACAAAAAAGTTACTTTTAGACAATAAATATGAATTGCTAATACAATTTAGCAATGTATTAACCACAAAAGGTAAATAATTGTGATTTAAAACTGTAGTCCAGTCAAAACTTTATTTGATTAAAATTAATATTCTAAATTTGAATGGGTACTATCTTATTTGTCTAAGAGACAATATTGCTGGTAGTATTAATTTAAATATTCGCTGATACACTATATTGCCAAAAGTATTTGCTCACCCATCCAAATTATTGGAATCAGGTGTTCCAATCACTTCCATGGCCACAGGTGTATAAATTCAAGCACCTAGGCATGCAGACTGTTTTTACAAACATTTGTGAAAGAATGGGTCGCTCTCAGGAGCTCAGTGAATTCCAGCGTGGAACTGTGATAGGATGCCACCTGTGCAACAAATCCAGTCGTGAAATTTCCTCGCTCCTAAATATTCCACAGTCAACTGTCAGCTGTATTATAAGAAAATGGAAGTGTTTGGGAACGACAGCAACTCAGCCACGAAGTGGTAGGCCACGTAAACTGACGGAGCGGGGTCAGCGGATGCTGACGCGCATAGTGCGAAGAGGTCGCCAACTTTCTGCAGAGTCAATCACTACAGACCTCCAAACTTCATGTGGCCTTCAGATTAGCTCAAGAACAGTGCGCAGAGAGCTTCATGGAATGGGTTTCCATGGTCGAGCAGCTGCATCCAAGCCATACATCACCAAGTGCAATGCAAAGCGTCGGATGCGGTGGTGTAAAGCACGCCGCCACTGGACTCTAGAGCAGTGGAGACGCGTTCTCTGGAGTGACGAATCGCGCTTCTCCATCTGGCAATCTGATGGACGGGTCTGGCGGTTGCCAGGAGAACGGTACTTGTCTGACTGCATTGTGCCAAGTGTAAAGTTTGGTGGAGGGGGGATTATGGTGTGAGGTTGTTTTTCAGGAGCTGGGCTTGGCCCCTTAGTTCCAGTGAAAGGAACTCTGAATGCTTCAGCATACCAAGACATTTTGGACAATTCCATGCTCCCAACTTTGTGGGAACAGTTTGGAGCTGGCCCCTTCCTCTTCCAACATGACTGTGCACCAGTGCACAAAGCAAGGTCCATAAAGACATGGATGACAGAGTCTGGTGTGGATGAACTTGACTGGCCTGCACAGAGTCCTGACCTCAACCCGATAGAACACCTTTGGGATGAATTAGAGCGGAGACTGAGAGCCAGGCCTTCTCGTCCAACATCAGTGTGCGACCTCACAAATGCGCTTCTGGAAGAATGGTCAAAAATTCCCATAAACACACTCCTAAACCTTGTGGACAGCCTTCCCAGAAGAGTTGAAGCTGTTCTAGCTGCAAAGGGTGGACCGACGTCATATTGAACCCTATGGATTAGGAACGGGATGTCACTTAAGCTCATATGTGAGTCAAGGCAGGTGAGCAAATACTTTTGGCAATATAGTGTAAGTTTAATCAAGGTGAACATTAAAGTTCTTTACATTTTCACAGCCTAAGATTTAACCTATAAAAATACTATTTCCTAAATAAGGATGTAAGTTTTTCCATTTTAAAGTTACGTGAATGTTTTTATATTTACGTAGTGAACACATCACGTTTTAACCCATTTTATTTTATGTTCCAACTGTCCAACTTACTATATCACATCAAATAGTTAACATGCTTTCCTTCTTAATGTGAAACAGGAAATTTCTCAAAAAAATTTGGAAACCATGAACAGCATCAGAATTTAAAGTTTTTGCATTCATGTCTAAACAAAACATATGTCCCAAAGGACACCATACATAGAATATACTGAAGAGATACAGAGAAGAGGTAAAGATATTGAATTTCTGAAAAAAAATAACAAAGCATATGTTTTTCTCTAACCCTTAATGCCAAAAGGTAAATTTGAACAAAGTAAAATCAATTTCCATCATTATGAAGTAATGCAAAATTATTTTACATAAATTCTCTTCAAAATATTGGTACCTAATATTCGCTGATGAAGGTTCTCAGTCATCCAGGTCATAGTCATTCCGTAAAAATTCAAAAAATATCCACTGGACTTGGTTTTCAGGATTTGAAGACGTTTCACCACCTCTCCAGGAAGCTTTCTCAATTCAAATGTCTGGGTCCGCAGTGAGTTTGAGTCTTATATAGACAACGCCTTGTATCGCTTGGAAGCATGCAATGGTAACCGATGAATGGGTCGTTAGTTCCATCGTTAGCCTGTAATATCTGAACCTGTCTATGATTCTAGGGGTCGGTCGTTAAAGGGGGGATTGCCATTAAGGGGGGGGGGGATTGTCTCCTGTAATACCTGAAACCTGTCTATGATTGTTAAGGGTTGGTCGTTAAGGAGGTATTGTTCACCGGCTGGGGCGGGTAGGTCCCTCGTTCCTCTGTGATGGGGTGGGGGGTTTGGTGATATCTGGAAGGGATCATGTCTATGATTGAATTGTATGTTTTTGGAAGCTGGAATCTGAGTCCACCACCTCTGTTTAAAGTTGGTTTTTCTCTCTTAACATAGATGGCTTCCTTCACGCCCCTCTCAAACCACCTATTTTCTCTATCCAGAATATGCACATTCTGGTCCTCAAAAGAATGTCCTTTGTCCATAAGGTGTAGGTGTACTGCGGAGTCTTGTCCAGAGGCGGCCGCTCTTCTGTGTTGGGCCATGCGTCTGTGGAGAGGTTGTTTTGTTTCGCCAATATAAAGATCAGAGCATTCCTCGCTGCACTGAACAGCATATACCACTCCGCTCATATTCGGTCTGGGGGTTTTATCTTTAGGGTGCACTAGCCTCTGTTTAAGGGTTTGGTTTGGCTTGAAATGTACTGGGATCTTGTGTTTGGAGAAAATCCTCTTGAGCTTTTCAGACACTCCAGCAACATAAGGGATTGTGATGTTTTTGCGTTTAATTTTCCCATCGCTGTCTTCTGTTGCGTGTCTTTTGGATTTCCTTGCTGATTTGATAAAAGGCCAGTTTGGATATCCACAGTTTCGGAGAGCATCTTTGATGTGTTTCTGTTCTTTTTGCTTCCCATCTGTTTTAGTAGGGACATGTTCTGCCCGGTGTTGTAAGGTTCTGATGACTGAGAGTTTGTGTTCCAGTGGGTGGTGTGAGTCAAAAAGAAGATACTGGTCTGTGTGAGTAGGTTTCCTATACACTTCAATGTTTAGGCTTCCATCTCCTTCCATGCTCACCAGGCAGTCCAGAAAGGGTAGTTTGTTGTCCTTGGCATCCTCTCTGGTGAATTTGATGTTACGGTCAACAGAGTTGATGTGTTTGGTGAAAGCTTCCACTTCCTCTAGTTGGATTTTGACGAAAGTGTCATCCACGTATCTAAACCAGTGGCTTGGTGGTATTCCATTGAAAGTGTCTAAAGCTCTCTTTTCCATTTCTTCCATGTAAAGATTGGCTACAATTGGTGGTACTGGAGATCCCATTGCGCAGCCATGCTTCTGTCTGTAAAAATTACCTCTGAATTTGAAATAGGTTGTGGAAAGACAAAGGCCCAGTAGTGTGCAGATCTGGTCCGGAGTGAAATTAGTCCTGTTGTTTAAATCACTATCTTGTTCAAGACGTGTCCTGACTGTTTCCACTGCCTCTGTTATAGGTATGCATGTGAAAAGTGAAGTAACATCAAACGATACCAAGGTTTCTCCTGGAGCCATCCTTAAATGTTTGGCTTTGTTGGCAAAATCTTTGGAGTTTTCTATGTGATGTGGTGTGTTCCCCACCAAGGGAGCTAAGATATTAGTAAGCTGTTTAGCAATGTTGTATGTTACTGAGTTAATGCTGCTGACGATGGGCCTGAGTGGTGCCCCTTCTTTGTGAATTTTTGGAAGTCCATATAAGCATGGAATTTCCTCCCCTGGATATAATCTGAAATAGGCTGTGCTGTTAATTACCTTGTCTTTTTCAAGTTGTTTGAGATAGTCTATTATTTTCTTTTTGTAGCCGCTGGTTGGATCTCTTTTCAAGGATTCATACGTATTAGTGTCCTTCAGTAGAGTGATAATTTTGTCTTGGTAGTCTGAGGTGTTGAGGACTACGGTGCATCTTCCTTTGTCTGCTGGTAATATGGTGATGCTTTGGTCCTGGCTCAGGGATGTTATGGCTTTCATTTCCTGGGGTGTGAGGTTGGAAGGAGGTGGTTTGGCGCTGGACAGGGTGGCTGTTACCTTCATTCTGAGTTGCTCTGCCTCCGTTTCAGCCAGGTTGTTGTTCCTGATGGCCGATTCAGTGGCCGTGATCAGTTCCACAATGGGTACTTCTTGTGGAGCAATGGCAAAATTCAGGCCTTTACTCAGTACATCCATCTCTGGTTTTGTCAGTGGTCTGCTAGATAGGTTTTTTACCCACTTGTCTTCAACCTTGATGTTATCCTCCTGAGTCATGTTGCTCTCTTGTTTAAATGCTGCTTTCTGTTGTAATCTTTTGAATTTGGCTTTTTGTCTTTCTTTTGTTTTATGATGTTGTGAAAGCTTGGCTTTATTGACCAAAATAGCAACTTCTTCAAACAAGGTTTCGGGGAGAAGTTTGGATAGCTTCTGCCTTATCTGATCTATTTTGTGCGAGATAGCTTCAATTGTGAAATGAGTCTGTCTAATCCTCTCACTAAGCAGCTTTTTGTGCGCATTCCTAAGAATCTCTTCTGCCCTGTGTCCTTTGATAGTAGACTTCAGTCTTAGACTGTTGGGAATGAGACCTTGCTGTCTACATCTTAAATTGAAACGTAGATGATTCCTATAATCTGCAAGTTTCCTAAGCAATTTCTCATACTCACGCGTTATCCCGAGGATGTCTTTCCCAAAATGGAGTGCAATATGCTGATGAAGGTTCTCAGTCATCCAGGTCATAGTCATTCCGTAAAAATTCAAAAAATATCCACTGGACTTGGTTTTCAAGATTTGAAGACGAGGTGGCGAAACGTCTTCAAATCTTGAAAACCAAGTCCAGTGGATATTTTTTGAATTTTTACGGAATGACTATGACCTGGATGACTGAGAACCTTCATCAGCATATTGCACTCCATTTTGGGAAAGACATCCTCGGGATAACGCGTGAGTATGAGAAATTGCTTAGGAAACTTGCAGATTATAGGAATCATCTACGTTTCAATTTAAGATGTAGACAGCAAGGTCTCATTCCCAACAGTCTAAGACTGAAGTCTACTATCAAAGGACACAGGGCAGAAGAGATTCTTAGGAATGCGCACAAAAAGCTGCTTAGTGAGAGGATTAGACAGACTCATTTCACAATTGAAGCTATCTCGCACAAAATAGATCAGATAAGGCAGAAGCTATCCAAACTTCTCCCCGAAACCTTGTTTGAAGAAGTTGCTATTTTGGTCAATAAAGCCAAGCTTTCACAACATCATAAAACAAAAGAAAGACAAAAAGCCAAATTCAAAAGATTACAACAGAAAGCAGCATTTAAACAAGAGAGCAACATGACTCAGGAGGATAACATCAAGGTTGAAGACAAGTGGGTAAAAAACCTATCTAGCAGACCACTGACAAAACCAGAGATGGATGTACTGAGTAAAGGCCTGAATTTTGCCATTGCTCCACAAGAAGTACCCATTGTGGAACTGATCACGGCCACTGAATCGGCCATCAGGAACAACAACCTGGCTGAAACGGAGGCAGAGCAACTCAGAATGAAGGTAACAGCCACCCTGTCCAGCGCCAAACCACCTCCTTCCAACCTCACACCCCAGGAAATGAAAGCCATAACATCCCTGAGCCAGGACCAAAGCATCACCATATTACCAGCAGACAAAGGAAGATGCACCGTAGTCCTCAACACCTCAGACTACCAAGACAAAATTATCACTCTACTGAAGGACACTAATACGTATGAATCCTTGAAAAGAGATCCAACCAGCGGCTACAAAAAGAAAATAATAGACTATCTCAAACAACTTGAAAAAGACAAGGTAATTAACAGCACAGCCTATTTCAGATTATATCCAGGGGAGGAAATTCCATGCTTATATGGACTTCCAAAAATTCACAAAGAAGGGGCACCACTCAGGCCCATCGTCAGCAGCATTAACTCAGTAACATACAACATTGCTAAACAGCTTACTAATATCTTAGCTCCCTTGGTGGGGAACACACCACATCACATAGAAAACTCCAAAGATTTTGCCAACAAAGCCAAACATTTAAGGATGGCTCCAGGAGAAACCTTGGTATCGTTTGATGTTACTTCACTTTTCACATGCATACCTATAACAGAGGCAGTGGAAACAGTCAGGACACGTCTTGAACAAGATAGTGATTTAAACAACAGGACTAATTTCACTCCGGACCAGATCTGCACACTACTGGGCCTTTGTCTTTCCACAACCTATTTCAAATTCAGAGGTAATTTTTACAGACAGAAGCATGGCTGCGCAATGGGATCTCCAGTACCACCAATTGTAGCCAATCTTTACATGGAAGAAATGGAAAAGAGAGCTTTAGACACTTTCAATGGAATACCACCAAGCCACTGGTTTAGATACGTGGATGACACTTTCGTCAAAATCCAACTAGAGGAAGTGGAAGCTTTCACCAAACACATCAACTCTGTTGACCGTAACATCAAATTCACCAGAGAGGATGCCAAGGACAACAAACTACCCTTTCTGGACTGCCTGGTGAGCATGGAAGGAGATGGAAGCCTAAACATTGAAGTGTATAGGAAACCTACTCACACAGACCAGTATCTTCTTTTTGACTCACACCACCCACTGGAACACAAACTCTCAGTCATCAGAACCTTACAACACCGGGCAGAACATGTCCCTACTAAAACAGATGGGAAGCAAAAAGAACAGAAACACATCAAAGATGCTCTCCGAAACTGTGGATATCCAAACTGGCCTTTTATCAAATCAGCAAGGAAATCCAAAAGACACGCAACAGAAGACAGCGATGGGAAAATTAAACGCAAAAACATCACAATCCCTTATGTTGCTGGAGTGTCTGAAAAGCTCAAGAGGATATACTCCAAACACAAGATCCCAGTACATTTCAAGCCAAACCAAACCCTTAAACAGAGGCTAGTGCACCCTAAAGATAAAACCCCCAGACCGAATATGAGCGGAGTGGTATATGCTGTTCAGTGCAGCGAGGAATGCTCTGATCTTTATATTGGCGAAACAAAACAACCTCTCCACAGACGCATGGCCCAACACAGAAGAGCGGCCGCCTCTGGACAAGACTCCGCAGTACACCTACACCTTATGGACAAAGGACATTCTTTTGAGGACCAGAATGTGCATATTCTGGATAAAGAAAATAGGTGGTTTGAGAGGGGCGTGAAGGAAGCCATCTATGTTAAGAGAGAAAAACCAACTTTAAACAGAGGTGGTGGACTCAGATTCCAGCTTCCAAAAACATACAATTCAATCATAGACATGATCCCTTCCAGATATCACCAAACCCCCCACCCCATCACAGAGGAACGAGGGACCTACCCGCCCCAGCCGGTGAACAATACCTCCTTAACGACCAACCCTTAACAATCATAGACAGGTTTCAGGTATTACAGGAGACAATCCCCCCCCCCCTTAATGGCAATCCCCCCTTTAACGACCGACCCCTAGAATCATAGACAGGTTCAGATATTACAGGCTAACGATGGAACTAACGACCCATTCATCGGTTACCATTGCATGCTTCCAAGCGATACAAGGCGTTGTCTATATAAGACTCAAACTCACTGCGGACCCAGACATTTGAATTGAGAAAGCTTCCTGGAGAGGTGGCGAAACATCTTCAAATCTTGAAAACCAAGTCCAGTGGATATTTTTTGAATTTTTACGGAAGTACCTAATATTCCCAAAATGTTACAGATAAACAAATCAAACTTGCTCTTTTACTGGAGAATGTGTGCATCCATGTCTTAAAGATGCATTCTGTGATTTGCTTAGTGTAAATGTTTGCCTAAACATCAAGTTAAAACAAGATGGACAAAATAATTTGACAAATAAATCAATCCCTATTTAAGAGATAAGGGTTTATTGTTCTACTGTTTATATATCGGTGGACATTTTATTGTTCTCCATAATCCCCCCCTACGTACTCAGACTTGTCTGCAACACATGCAGCATTTCCAGCAACTGAACGAGTCTGCGAGCATGGATATGTACAGTGCTATCTTCCTTTGACTCATGTAGCCATGACATAGCTTCTCTCACTTCCAACAGTTCTTTTCAAAAGCTTTGCAATCTTTATAACATAAAAAATAGGTTGCACATATTCATCCGTTTTGTTTTGGTATAGATCAACAAGGCGTAGTACATCTTTTCTCCAAAATGAGAAAAGCACACTATTTTCCTAAATATACCACTGAGTCCTAGATTTGCGGTTCAGACTCAGGTAAGCATGTGACTGAAGGAATCTGGGACAAGAGTCTCTTAGCATCAGCAGGAATACATGTTTCTGGGCTTCATCAAAGCAGCTTCGACTTGGTTTCTTCAATGATTTCTGGATCTTCTCTCTGATACTATGGTCTACATTGATCTACAAGAGAAAGAGACAACAAAGTTAACAATTGGAATGTCCAATTAATAACTACAGTGCTGATAAGCTTCAGATAATGTGGTAAATAAAACAATCATTTCAAAATATTTGTTAAAGAGCCATTTATTCAGACAAAAAAGTTAAATGTTGCTGAACTATTAAAAACATCCCTTTAAGTTTAATCCTCTCATACTTGGACTAACCCTAACCCTTTTCCTATAGAATCAGAAGTTCAAGCAAAATCTCCCAACGAAGAATCTATTTTTTGTAAAGTGTGGAAGTTTAAGAGTCTGTTAGAGATTATTTTGTAATTTTTTGAATAGACCACCTTGAAATGGTGGTACCACGGCACCTTACCATTAGCTCTTTATCTTTCTATATGTGTTTTTGGATATGTTTTTACCAGTAATTTAGAAAGGAATTAACCAATTTATTAAACAGACTACATATCTAAACATATTGTATACTACAGTGACCACACCATTTTACGTGGCCAGGTCGCAGGGGCAGCAGTCTAAGTAGAGATGCCCAGACTTCTCGATCCACACACACCTCCTCCAGCTGCTCTTGGGGGACCTCGAGGCGACCATAGGCCAGCACAGAGACATTGTCCCTCCAGCGTGTCCTTGGCCTTCCACGAGGCCTTCTTCCAATAAGACGTGCATGAATCCCCTCCAAAGAGAGGTGACCAGGTGGCATCCTGAACAGATGCCCAAGCCACCTCAGATGGCTCCTTTCGATGTGGAGTAGCATTGACTCCACTCCAAGCTCCTCCCGGGTAACTGAACTCCTCAATATCGAATGGTGCAACCAGCCACCATGTAAAGAAAACTCATTTCGGCCGCTTGTTCTTTCATCATTACCCAGATCTCATGACCATAGGAGAGGGTGGAAAAATAGATCAATTGGTAAATCAAGAGCTCTGCACCCTGACTCAAGTCCCTCTTCACCACAACAGTCTAATACAGCGACCGCTGATGCCGCACCGACTTCTCTATTGATCTCATGCTCCATCCATCCCTCACTCATCAACACAACTCCAAGATACTCAAACTCCTCCACTTGAGACAAGGTCTCTCCGCCAACCTGAAGATGGGAGTCCACCCTTGTGCCATGGAGAACCATGGCCTCGGATTTAGAGGTGCTGATCCTCATCCTGGGCGCTTCACACTCGGCTGAAAACCACCCCAGTGCATGCTGAAGTTCCTGGTTTGGTGAGGCCAACAGGACAACATCATTTACAAACAGCAAAGATGATATCCTGAGGTTCCCAAACCGGACAACCCCTGGTCCCTTGCTGCGCCTAGAAATTTAGTCCATAAATATAATGGACAGAACCGGTGACAAAGAGCAGCCCTGGTGGAGACCAACATGCACCGGGAACAGGTCTGACTTACTGCAAGCAATGCGAAACAAGCTTCTGCTGCTGTCATACTGTACAGAGAACAGATAGCCTTGAACAGAGAGCCCCGGACCCCATACTCCCGGACCACCCCCCACAGGGTACCACAAGGGACACGGTCGAATGGTCAAAACAAATGTGGACTGGTTGAGCGAACTCCTATAAACCCTTGAACCCAAGATACTACTCACTAAAATATATTTATCTGAAATTATTTAATAATAGAATAGGCATTACACTGAAAAAAACATGCTTTGTAGTAAAATTTAGCAGAATTTAACCAGAATGCAAACAAAGCAATCAGTGGATCAGCGATTACCCTGCTCTAACACCTTAAGTGGCTAAAGCAGAAGAACTGAATATCTTCCCCAGCCACATGTACAGCTCCAGTCTCTCTCTGCAGCTGTAATAATCGACATCCACTTAAAGGAAGATCAACACCAACAAGGATTGAAGTCTGGTGTCTAATCAGAACCTGAAATCATCTTCAACCAATCCCTGCTGCTTTTCAAAACATGGTGTTCCAGGCGGCCTCCATGAAAAGCAGCAGGGACTGGCAGGCGGTCGCAGTATTTAATTTAATATAAAAAATTAATTATAAATCTGACTGCACTGTTTAAAAATAAAAAAGATGTTTTAAAGACTAAGTATTTTTTTTCTTTTAAACTGCTTTTGCTTATTTGTCTCAATTAAGAGACTATATTTTTCTACCAGTAAGCTTCTTGTACTTTTGTTTGCTTTTTTATCTTTACTTTTCAAAATACAAATCCACACAAACCCCCAGAGAACACATGGATTTCATATCTCATGTTCAAAGCACAACAATCTGCTGCATTATCAAACATGAATAGCTAATAACATTCTTTGGAATTAGAAATAGTGAAAACAATCAGAAATAAATGACTGTTAAGAGCCTAGTGGGAGTTTGGTTTGTTAAAGGATTGTTCTCAAGGTATCATAAAAAAATGATAAAGTGTAAAAAAGCACTGAGCATAAGAATCTGTAAAAACTGAAGCTTACATCATCAGTGATGATTCAGTTAATGGTGAGAAGCTTTTATTCTTTCTTGTTTTTGGTTATATATTTGTCTTTAACAAATTGTTTTCTCCATTTATGTGACATTTAAATGGAAAAAAAAAAATGTTACTGGCCCACCCAGAAAACCTCTTCTCTTGCCATCAATTCCCAACTCCTGGACCACTGTCAAACTGACCTCTCTGCACGCTGTAGGTCCGATGAATTCCCCGTAAATCTTTTCAGCTTTCCATTTCAGGTCGTCTGAAGTTGACCTAAAGTCTTCACATGCGATCCAGAAATCAATGTTTTCCTCACTGAACTCAGACTTCAGGAAAGAGCGGAACAGTGCTCTATATTCTTTAAAAAAGGTACAGATTAGTGTTATATCTGAATTTTCATAGCTTGAGAATGATTAAAATTATAAAAGGGATTTTTGTATAAAGTAAAATTTCTTACTTTTGTCTCGTAGTATTTTTTCCAGAGAGAGGTCAAGCATATGGTCAGTCTTCCAGCTGTAATAAAAAAAAAATGGTCCCTTCAGTGAAATACAGAGTATACACACCTAAATAAAACACTTAACAAAACATTACCTGTGATTTGACGGAAATGTGTCATCACTGCGACAGAGGCGCCATATGTTGCTCTTTTTCCTCCTTTGACTCAAAACAATATCAATCCTGAGGTACAAATTTAGTTAAATTTTATTTCCTCCAATAACAAGAAAAATACTGTGTGGTTTTTCTCAGATTTGCTGGCTTACCTTCTTGGCCGCTGTACATTTGGCAATAAATCCTTAAGCTCACTAAACCAAATCTTGGAAAACAGAAGCTTGGGCATTTTAACATTACTGGTGTCTAAGGATTAGGTGATCCTATGTGGTATAAGCGAATGGTGTTGTGTTTGCCCTGAGTAGTGATTTAACTCGGCAGCTGCAGTGTAACACCTGTGACGCTAAGGGCCTGCTGGAGCAAGTAGGAAAATACCTTTCGGATAAGCCTTTGGACGACTACAGATTCGACTCAGAGGCTGTCGTCGCTGACTAAAGCCTGTAAATTTCTGATGAGGAAGGATAATTCTTTGATTTAGATATTGAAGAAAAAAATCTGACAACAACAACAACCGTAAAAACAAGACTCAAAGCCTCCAGTCCTTCAATTTCAGGAAAAACCAATATGCAAGAATGGTCACTGCATTTTTTTATTTTTTCATCAAAGGGGGAGAGTTACTGCTGGGGAAATATTTCAAGTTCCATTACATGAAACAGTTACAACAGTCATGAAGCCTGACATTATTTGGAGGAGGTGGATAGTGTTGTTATCCTATATGGGAGGAAATGATCCATCTGAATTTTTATCCTCTGATGTGTATATCCAAGTACAGCAGAGCAACCGACAGTTGCAGTTAATTTCTGTCCAGAATACTGCAGGGAAGACGGAAACTCCCTAGTCATCTTTTTTTAAGGCATCCTCACATGCCAGATGGCATGCTTCAAGAACGCTCATAGTTACATGATGTTTTATCACTGAAACAAGATGGCAAGCATCTTGTCTTCCCTTGCCTTATGACTCAGAAACGTTACTTTCCATGAAGGTGTGTTTTTTTTGCTGTTTTCAGCATGTGCTAAATTGTTTTTGACTTTTAAGAATGAGTTTAGGGGGATTCAATAATTGAAACCCCCTGGGTCTGTGGTCAGCAGGATTATGGTGGGTTTATTTGAAACTTTCCCCTCTAGAATGAGAGGAGATCCACAGATGTTTACATGTGGCTTTCGGCTCACTTTTTCACAAGCCAACACCCTTTATATTGCATGCTTGATAGAACAGTACTTTTACACAAGGACATAGGAAAGTTCAGAGAATGCAAATCACTTTGGGCACATGATGTGTTTATGTTTCAAATTTAAATTATATGTTTCCTTATCTTACCCCCCCAAATAATCTAAATAAAACAGTTTGTACCATATTAGGTCACCTGATACACTTAAGGACATGATAGGTAAACCCGTCTACTCTAATGTTTATAAAATGTAACAATATTATCTTACAAACAGGAAACTTTGCATATGAAAAAATATACATGAGTGACTCTTGGGTCAATGCCACCTTGTGTGACTTCTTCCTTCTGCTACTAACAACCCACTTTCTCTATGTTTATCAAAAAACTGAAAACTATGCTACCTGGTCTTGTGCCCTGCAGTATTCTGGACAGAAATTAACTGCATCTGTTACTTAAAGTTACTTTAAGCTCAAAGGATGTGAAAATATTTTCAAAGCATTGTAGCTGACCTCTATCATGCTATTTAATCATTTATTTAAAACAGTTATTATAATTTAGCTGTAATGTCATGAATTGAAATTAATAAAATAAAACAACATTGAATAAGCACTGACCAGCGATCCCGTAAATCAAAATTAGCTAAAAGAAAAAAAAAAACCTTGTCTTTAACTCCGCCTCCATCCAACGGTTATGTTAGCATCTATTTGTTGTATTGCTAAAGAATCATGATCTTTATTTTTTGTAGTATGTTTTGGAGTATATTTCGGAGTATGAGCTAGAAGTGAAAGTAAGCTGATATGATCCGGTACTGCTTTTTACTGAAAGGGTCAGCTGCTGCAGGCAGTACTGGAAGGGGCCTCCTGCACACTGTAACATGATGTCATTTTGATTTTACCAGTGTAAGTGTGTGTGTACGGATGCTCAATATGTGTCCGTTTTTATTGTCATTAATTTGTCTCAAGTGCAGAGCAATGTAATGAACCCTCTGCATTTAACCCATCCCCTCTGGGAGCAGTGGGCTGCCATTGTGCGTCACCTGGGGAGCGGTGTGGGGTTAAGGGTCTTGCTCAGGGATCCAGAGTGGCAGTTTGTGGGATTGGGGCTCAAACTCAGAACCTCAGGATTCCATGCTCTATGCCATAAGAACTAGGTTGCTACTAACCCCCGTAAACTGGCACTAAACTCTGACAAACTACAGTATACTTAGCCACCTATAACCTCCTCCATCTCTGCACTTGTTATCAGCCCCAGCAGGGTGCTGTGCCAACCCCTTACTCACTAAACACCCACTTGTGCGCTGTCTCGTGACTTAATAACCTGTATTTAAATGAACCACATTACAAGAAAAGTGTGAAAATGCTCTTGTTTCAGTCATGCTATCGTTCAGATTTTGGTTTATTTTCAGCTCCTGACAAGTTATTCAGAACTTATTTTAATTTCTACCCAAGGAATGTGTATATTTTATCCAGAATAAGAATTAAATTATTTCACTTCAAAAGTTTTGATGTAGGCCCAGATGAAAAAGCAAATAGACTTTCGACTAGTTTACTCAAAGTTCCTATATTTCTACAGTATCTATTCAAATAAATGTAAATGTTTCCTGGTATTCACAAGAAGAACATGATTTCACTACTTCCTGATAATACTTTAAACTTTTACTTTATAATTTAATTAAATGAGAGGCTCAGTTTTTAGAAAAGTTTTTGTTTGTCAGTCTGCATGAGGTGATTCAAAAACCTTCAGAGGGCGCCATATGTGAAATGGTAAAACCATGCAAGTTTAGTCTTTCTGAATAGTTAAAATAACTAATCTTTTCCATATCTTTCTTTCAACACAGTTTCTTTAGGTGCTGTTCTATACTGAGTTGCAGGTTGAAAAAAAAACACACCAACTCTTGCAAGCTTAAATACCATAATCTAAATTAAAGCTTCTCCACCAATCAGTGACAGGGCATTTATCATTAAAAATCCCAAATATACAATAAAAAATGAAAAAGAGTGAAATGAATGAATTATGAGAAATAGTATTAAGATAATTCAGCTCCATCCAAATATTCTTCAAATATAGTTTATTCTGGAGAAGCCTCCGGTGGAAGTAACTCTTTTGCTGTTTAACAGTCTGATGAAGAGGATGCTCAATGGTGTCCATAATTTTTGTCCATAAAGAATGTTTGTCCCTTTTCATATAAGTCTATATAAAAAAAAAACTATTGTTTAAAATCTGTTAAGGGAGTAAAACACCAATATTAATCCATTACTTTGTTAATAGTACATGTAAGATATTAAATAGTACAGAGCTTTGATAAAGGGGTATAAACCTGTATATCTAGTACGGGGTTGAAGTCTGACAATAAATCAGGAAGATATTTTTTAAAGCCTGAATTACTTAAAACGTTGATGCTCCAATCTTCGATTGAATAGTAACCAACTGCTGGCAAATTTACAAAATCTTTAGGCATTGCTCTCATGATTAAATGAGGAAGAAGTCTCTTGCAGTTCCAGGGTGTGATGCACTTATGTAAATCAGTTTCCTGATGTTGTCAAAGAGTTCATAGAGAAAAGGTTCAGTGATTTTGGGGTAATGTCTGGGAAGAACCATTCATATCTGAGAAGAGATTCAGTTGCAAGAAAAATGTGCTCTGGTCGAGGAAAGAAACTTCTCCAAATCATGAAATGGGATATTATTTGATACTTGCAATAAATAAATAAAAAAATAAATAAAAACCTTAATTCATCTAAAATAATGGTACCACATGTGATATAAATCCTTTTTTGCTACCTGTATTTGAATAAAAAATTAAAACAGGAATCCACCTACTTAAAGTAAAAACCCTAACAGTTGGAAATTATAAGAATTCTGTGGTAATATCCGCTTCATTAAGTGATTTTCACAGAAACAACTTCCGCATTCAGTCATTGTGACCCTAACAAAAAAATTTCCAGGCTGTGAGCAATATCCACGTTTCATCAGTCAGCTGTAGAGCATCAAATTTTGAATTTTTTCTAAAATGCTATTGTGACATTAGCTTTACATAATAGGGGAAAATCATGCCATATTTCAACAGAAGACGTTTGATTAATTTACAGGAAGTGAGGTTTGAGAGTTTTTTGTTACTCACAACACAAATACAGCAAGAGCATTGAAGGTTTTTGAGAAAAGAAGTTTCACTTTTGATTATAACAAGAAACTGAGTTTAAAAGGCTAATACCAAGAACCACATCATTTATTATTTACAGGAATATGCACAGCAGTGGTTAATAACTGTTTCATTATTTAAAAAAAATATATTTTCCAAACATAATCATTCTTCAGCGTGCACAGGCTGGCCTGAAAGAACTATAAGATAGGAAAAGTCAAGACAGAGAATCTCAAATACATAAACTGAAATACTAAAAACACAATATCAAAGTTTGTAAGCCAAAGCCAAAAATCAATCTTTCAAGGGTTAAATTAAAGGATATGAGGTAAATGTCATGTACCTGTTATGTTTTTGTCTATCACTGCGCCAATGAAAAAATGTAATAAATAAGGAAGAGGTGATTACAAGTCTACCCACACTGGAATTAGTGTCTGTCTGCTCATGCATCTGTTTGCTCTGTTCTTGCTTGTTCGGGCGAGGTGCTGCACATCTGAAACCCTTGACTTATCTTTCATCACAGCCAACAACGACTTAGCTTAAACTGGCGCCCTGGCCTCCTCTGTGTATGACTCACTTAAATTGAAACGCACTACAGTTCTATCTGAATCATCAAAACACCCAACATTCTTGTTTTTTTCTTCTTTTAAATAAAAAGTGGGCACATAGTAGAGACACAGATTTGTTTCAGTTCATATATGTTTGTCTTTCCTTTTAATTTGTTTTTATCTGAAATCTATTTTGCTCTATTTATAATCATGGACTTTCCACCCACAGTATTAGGTACATATGTTAAATTGCTTTTTAACACAAATAGAATCAAAATTTGGTACATAAAACACAAAATCTTAGATGCATCTTTCTATGATGCATCATTCTATGCAGAAACACTTCAGGAAATCCGCAGATGGCACCTACCAATCCACAATGTAATATACCAATGAAGAGGAAAGGCATCCTGGCCTTAAAAGGATTATGCATAAGAAATGAGCTTCTTCAACGAGTTTCTA